TGGGGACTCGGACCGTGAACTGTGAAATCATGACCTGGGCAGTCGGACATCAACCTGACGGAGCCACCCAGGTGCCCCAGTATTTTTTTTTTTTTAATGTTTATTTATTTTGAGAGAGAGAGTGAGCATACGAGCAGGATAAGGAACTGATCCCAAGCAATTTCATCCCTGGGTGTATTTCTTTTTATTTCTTTCAATTTTTTATTTAAATTCCTAGGTGGTTAGCCTACAGGGCAATATAGGTTTTCAGGAGATGGAATTCAGTGATTCATCACTTACATACAAAGCAGTGCTCATCACAAGTGCCACTCCTTAATGCCATCACCCCTCTAGCCATCCCCACCACCACCTCCTCCATCGATCCTCAGTTTGTTTCTATCAGGTCTAGAATTGGCCTGGGTGGCTCAGTCGATTAAACATTTGACTTCAGCTCGGGGCATGATCTCGCGGTTTATTGAGTTATTGAGCCCAGCGTGGGGCTCTCTGCTTTCAGTTCAGGCCTGGAGCCTGCTTGGTTCTGTGTCTCCCCTCTCTTCGGCACTCACTCTTTCCTCTCTCAAAGTAGAAATAAACATTAAAAAAATTAAAAATCTCTTACTGGCTTGTTTCCTCTTCTCTCCCCATATGTTCATCTGTTTTATTTCTTAGAATTCCATAGGGTAAGAATCATGGTATTTGTCTTTCTCTGACTGACTTATTTCATAGCAATATGCTCAAGCCCATTACAGGACTAAATCACAACCCTGAGGATCAAGACCCACAGGCAGATCAGGGTCGGGTCTTAACTGGCCTGAGCCGCCCAGCCCCTATGAGTAATAGTTTAACAGGTTCAATTTTTCCAATTATCTTTGCCGTATTCCATGTGATTCCCCTCGCCCGTTCTGCTTTGATTTTAATATTTTTTTTTTTAGTGTTAAGAAAGCTTCTGTTAAAATGAGACCACAGGCTCAAATAGAGTCCCACATGTGCTAAACCACATCATAAACCAAGTAACATCTAATGTAGCGGCAGTTTATCCCAGGAATGAGCCTGCGACCTTTGTACCATTACCCGGATGAGCCCTAGTGAAGTGATCGCGTAAGATCCCCACCCTCCCCCTCCAACTGCCTTCTGCCTTTTAGCTTCTCATTTCCTCCTAGTTCCTGGGAGCTCCTTTCCATTTGTTGGATGGGATGCTTCCCAGTTCTTAACTGCCAGTAAAGCCAATGAGATCTTCAAATTTACTCAGTTGGGGTTTGTTTGTTAAAGTGCCAAAGGCAAACTATGCCAAAAGGTGTGAATGTCACTCCTCCCCACCCCATTCTACACCTTCTTACTCCTCAAGGAAGCAGAACAAGTCTTTCCAAGAATGTGCCCTTTGTGGACTACTTAGAACCGAAGGCAGTCAAGATCTGTGGCTGGAGAAATTGGTGACCTTCCCTTAACCTACCTAGAATCTACATTAGTTCTTTCCCGGAATAAGAGGAACTACCAGAGATACACCGTGACCCGTCTGTGTGGCAGGACAATCGTGTGAGACCACTGCTTTTCTTACTGTCCTCCTTCCTGTTAAGCCCAGGCTCCATCCATTCCTCAGCTCAGAATGGCATAATACTCTACTTTTCTCTCTGTGAACCTCTCCTGTATGTGGGGTTCCCGTATGTATGAAATTAAATTGATTTTCCCCATTAATCTGGTCATCAATTTCATCCTTAGGCCCGAGCGAAGAACCTCTGAAGGGTGAGGAGAGTCCTACCCAGCACCCCCACTTGGGTAACCAGTCTCACTGGTTTTGGTATCTTCCTTGACTTTCTTTCTGCTGTAAGCAGAACACGATTACTTTCTTATTTAATTATTTCCTATGTAAAGGTATAAATATATAAATACTCTTTGTCTTTGTTTTTTTTTTTTTAATAATATACAGAGGCACTTTTCCAACAGCGGTCAAAGAACATGAGACTCCTGATTGCAGGGGTCCTGAGGTTTGAGCCTATGTTGGTGTAGAGATTATTTAAATAAATAATTAAACTTTATATATATATATACTGCACACACACACAAACACACCTTGAAACCACTCCATGTCGGTCCACAGAGATCTTCCTCATTTTTATTTCTGCCTCAGATCCTCCTGTTGTATGGATGTACCCTTCTTCATACTTTACATCTCTCTACAAGTGCCTCAACAGTTCCCAATATTTAAGCGCGCAATGCTCGCGGGTTGAATAACCTTGTGCATATTTATTTTGTATTCGGGACATCTATATTCAGGGCAAATTCCTACATCAGGAGTTTTTTTTTTTTTTGGTCAGGGCTGTTGATTTTCCATTGTATTCTACCAAGGACCTCCAAACCTACTTTCTCAGATTTAAATTCAGGCTACCCAACCATAAAGGCTGGGGGCTCTGGATCAAAGATAAGGGCAAACTGTTGTGTTCCTCAGGACACACGGTCGAAAAGACTTGAAGAAGAAAAAATAAATCAGAGGCATGAAGAATTTTACAAAATAATCTATGTGCAGATAATAGAGCAGTATATCTGGCCTTCCTGGCCATAAATAATAACCAGGGAGGAGGATTATAACACATTGTAACATGCTTTGTTACAACAGCATGCAGAAAGATAAAATACTGAACGGTCGTTCAACAGAATATTCGAGAATTTATATGAGGAGAACGTTAAAATACTGAAAGACACAAAAATGGATTTGGGCAAATGGAGAATTGTCTTGCTCTTGGAAAAGAGAACTCAATGGGACACTTCCATTGGTTTCCCCAAGTAAATTTATTTATATAAAAATATTTTTTTAATGTTGTGCAGAGAGAGACAGAACAGAAAGGCGGGGAGGAGGAGCAGAGAGAGAGGGAGACAGCACAGAATGGGAGGCTTGGGCTCCAGGCTCTGTCAGCCTGAAGGCGCCCAGTGT